CGCTGTTGTTGCCCAGACTGGAGTGCAATGGCACGATCTCGGCTCACCGCAACCTCTGCCTCCTGGGTTCAAGCAATTCTCCTGCCTCAGCCTCCCGAGTAGCTGGGACTACAGGCATGCGCCATCATGCCCAGCTAATTTTTGTATTTTTAGTAGAGACAAGATTTCACCTTGTTGACCAGGATGGTCTCGATCTCTTGACCTCGTGATCCACCCGCCTCGGCCTCCCAAAGTGCTGGGATTACAGGCGTGAGCCCCCGCACCCGGCCCTTTTTTTTTTTTTTTTTAAAAGAGACAGGGTTGGCCGGGCATGGTGGCTCATGCCTGTAATCCAAGCACTTTGGAGGCCAAGGCGGGTGGATCACCTGAGGTCAGGAGTTCAAGACCAGCCTGACCAACATGGTGAAACCCCATCTTAAAAAAAAAAGAATTAAAGAGACAGGGTTTCCCTCTTTCTCAGGCTAGAGTGCAGTGCCATGACTATAGCTTGCTGCAGCCTTGAACTCTTGGGCTCAAGTGAGCCTCCCACCTCAGCCTCCTGAGTTCCTGAGAGTACAGGCATGTGCCACCATGCCTGGGTAATTTATTTTTTTATTTTTATTTTTTGTAGAGATAGGATCTTGCTACGTTGCCCAGGCTGGTCTTGAACTCCTCCTAAAGTGCGGGCATGAGCCACCATGCCCAGCCCTCCTTCCTTATTAATTTGAATCTATTTATTTATTTATTCATTTCTCTCTGTGGCCCAGGCTGGATTGCAGTGGCATGATCATAACTCACTGTAACCTCAAACTCCTGGCCTCAAGCAGTCCTCCCACTTTGGCTTCCCAAAATTTGCTGGAATTACAGGCATGAGCCACCATGCCCAGCCCCTCCTCCCTGCATGGCTGATGAGGGTTACTCCCTGATGTCTGGATGGGCATAAGGGGAGAGGCTGATTACGATGATCACGTCACACACAGTTCTGCTGCCCAGAGCAGAGGCTTGCTGCTATAGGAATGCTGCCCGCCAGTCGCCCCTCTGGCCTCTGTGGCCTCGGGCTCTGTGGCGGCCCCTGCCTCGCAGTGGTAAGGGGTCTCCAGTAGCTTCAGTACCCGCCGAACCTCTGAGAAGTCCCCGCTCTCGGCAGCCTCGATGGCGTTCTGCGCGATGTAGTTCCTCAGCACATACTTGGGGTTGCTGGCTCCACAAATCGTTGGAGGAGAGAAGACGCCAAGGAGTTGATACCAGTGCCCTAGCATTTCCTGTTCCCTTTCTGGGAAGCTGTGTAGGATCCTATCAGGGTTACTCCCTGATGTCTGGATGGGCACGAGGGGAGAGGCTGAGCCCTGGGACCACTCTCTCCTGCAGCATCGCTGGTGTACCGTCTGCCCCAGTCGTGGGTGGGGCCTAAGCTGCCCTGGAAACTCCTCCATGCAGCACTGCACCTGATGGCCTTCGTCCTCACTGTTGTGGGGCTGGTTGCTGTCTTTACGTTTCACAACCATGGAAGGATTGCCAACCTCTACACTCTGCACAGCTGGCTGGGCATCACCACCGTCTTCCTCTTCGCCTGCCAGGTGGGTTCTCTCTCCCCTCCTCCTCAGGGTTCCCAGAGCCATGAGCTCTGGGCGGGGCTTCACTTGCATGAGCACCAAATATTCCTTCTGCTTATTGCCTGGAGAGAGCCTTGCAGGTTGTATCCTGCCGAATCGGTAGTTTATTCAAGGGCTGTGGGAGGTCAGTGGCCTGAACTTACCCTGTCCTTTTATCCTTCCCACTGCCTGTCTCTCCTCCCAGAGCCCCCTCTGCTAACTTTGTCATGGCACATGCCATGCTGACTCAATCAGCCATCTCACTCCCACTTTCCCCACTCCCACCTCTCTGTGAACCAAAAGAATTCTAGAAGTGGTTTCCGTATTCTGATCTCAGGCCTGTGCAAGTGTGGAGTTTTATGAGCAAGGACTGGAAAGCAGCAGAGACAAACAAGGCAGTTGGGTTTGCTGGGAGTAGGATGGTAGCTAAGCATGTCATTTACTGTTCTTGTTTTGTGGGTAATAGGCCATATGAGGAAGCTAGCATGGCGGTGGGCAATGCCTGGCAGTGGGCAATGCCTGGCAGTGGGCAATGCCTGGTGGGAGGGTGTGAGTTGTGAAAGAAGAGCCAAGGAGATGGGGAGGCGGCGCTGGTGGGGAGGGGTAACCGGATGTGCTGTGGTCACACATAGCACCATCGGGTGTGTCCTCCCTTTTGTCCACAGTGGTTCCTGGGCTTTGCTGTCTTCCTCCTGCCCTGGGCATCCCTGTGGCTGCGCAGCCTCCTAAAACCTATCCACGTCTTTTTTGGAGCCGCCATCCTCTCTCTGTCCATTGCATCTGTCATTTCTGGCATCAATGAGAAGCTTTTCTTCATCAGTTTGTGAGTGCAGCGGGGTCCCCAACTCTAAGGTGAAGAGGAGGGAATAGGGTCTTCAAAAGACACACCCTATCATCATAGGACTCACCCAAGGGAGGAGAGCTTTCGGGGTTGGGCCCATTCCTGATCTTGAAGGTAACAGAATTGATCTTTCTTTAGGTTGAAATGGGTAAGTCAGCAGATATGTATGGAGCATCAGTTTGATTTAGCACCTACTGTGTGAACTGTCCTAAGCACCTTACATTTAATCCTCTCAACCACCCTACCTCATTGGTATTGTTGTCATTGCCATTTTCAATTGAGGGAACAGATTCTGCAATAGGACTGTTCAGGGGGAAAAAAATGAGGGAACAGAGGAGTTATGTAACTTACCCAAGGGCACACAGCCAGTAAGTGGCAGAGCTGGGACTCAGGTTAGGCAGTGTGACTCTAGAGCCTGCACGCCTGGCCACCGCTGTCCATTCTGAGGCGATGGGGTGTAGTGAAAAGCAACTAGGACTTGAGGTCAGACCTCAGTTTCAATCTTCGCTTTGCCATTTACTAGTTATGCAACTTTGGGTAAGTAGATTTCATTCCTTTGAGCTTCAGTTTCCTCATGGGTAAAAAGGATTATTACAGCTGGGTGCAGTGGCAGGCATCTGTAGTCTCAGCTACTTGGGAGGCTGAGGTGGAAGGATTATATGAGCCCAGGAGTTTGAGTTAAGCCAGGGCAACATAGCAAGACCCTCTCTATCTCCTCACCCCCACCCCCACCCCCCACCACAAGAGACTACATCTCACTCTGCTGCCTAGGTTGGAGCGCAATGGTGTGACCATAGCTCACTGCAGCATCAAACTCCTGAACTCAAGTGATCTTCCCGTTTTAGCCTCCCAAGTAATCTAGGACTACAGGCATATCCCTCCTTACCCAGCTGTTTTATTTTTGTAGAGACAGGATCTCACTATGTTGCATAGGCTGGTCTCGAACTCATGGGATGAAGCAGTCCTCATGCCTTGGCCTCCCAAAGTGCTGGGATTACAAGAGTGAGCCACTGTACCCAGCCCATTTTACAAATATTTGCAGGGACTTAGAAAGGGTGTTAAAATTGCAGATCACGTGTGGGCCCCGGCAAGGTTTTCTCACCCTCTCTTAGTGACATCGAGTCTCCCACTAGACAGAAATAGGTGGAAAAATCTCTTGAGAGCTCACACTATTTTCTCATCTTCAGGAAAAACGGCACCAGGCCATACTCCAGCCTGCCCAGCGAGGCCGTCTTTGCCAACAGCACCGGGATGCTGGTGGTGGCCTTCGGGCTGCTGGTGCTCTACATCCTTCTGGCTTCATCTTGGAAGCGCCCAGAGCCAGGGATCCTGACCGACAGACAGGTATGGGTTCTGGTCCCACATTCCAGGATGGGACAGGGCCAGATCTAGAGAAGGATCTCCCAGGAAAGGCTCAAGAAGACTAACCCAGTGGCACAGTGGGAAACCAAGTAGCTTGAGGGTGGAGTTAGGGTGGCCGATGGGGAGCACTGGTCCCAAAACAGCCTATCCCAGCGAAACTCTCTGGGGCTTCCTAGGGTCTGTCCATTGAGAGACAGAATTTCCCTCCCAAATTGCTGTGGTTCTATGAGGTGAAGTGTGGCCTTATCTTCTTCCCCAAGGAAGGGCTTGACTATGCCAAGGGTGTGTGATTTCTCCTTTCCCAGCCTTGGGGCTGGTCTAGTGGGTGGGTGCTTGGTGACAAGCTGAGTGCTTGGAGCAGGTGTTGAAGGGATGGAGGGAGATGGGGTATGTACCAGGCTCAGGGACTTTGGGGCTTCCCTGAGAGATTTGGTGGCTTGTGTGGGGACCACCCTGCAGGTTGGGGGTCTGTTTGAACGGCTTGGGCCTGGGGTGACTCCTGCATCCTGTCATTAACTCCTGGGCATCTGCCTGTCTTTCCAGCCCCTGCTGCACGATGGGGAGTGAAGCAGCAGGAAGGGGTTCCCAGGAGCTCCTGGTGCTGCAGCCTGTGCTCCTCAGAAGCTCTGCCCTTCCCAGGCTCCCAGCTGGCTTCAGCAGATGACTTTCTTCTAAGTCTGGGCCCAGACTTCTCACCTGGGTGCTGAGCCTGCCTTCTCCAGCCACTTGCTGCCTGTCTGCTTTTCTTGGTGGCTTTGGCTTCTGCACTACTTGGCATCAGCTTCTCAGGTCCACTGTTCACATGAGGTCCTCCTTGCCCTGGCCACTCCTGCTGCTCCTGCCTGAAGAAATCAGACTGATTTCCGCTTAAGACTCCTGGGGGCGTGGTGAAGAGCTGGGGCTCACATGCATTCCACGACATGAACCACGAGGGAGGTGAGGTATCTGTCTGCTTCCCCCACAAAGGCATGCATTTCAGTTAGGCCGCCCCGCCATGGAGCAGGCTTCATCTGCTCTGCCATCCAGCCCCATCTGGAGGTGTGGTGGGGTGGAGACATCATGGAGTGATTGCAGAAGCAGGGAGTGGCGGCCCACGCAGCTTCCGCTGAGGAGCTGACTGTTCTGAGCTGTTCTATTTGTATTGCTACCCTGAGTCTGCGTGTATTGTGACCATGCGGCTCTACCTCTTCCAGCTGCTGCTACAGCTGAGGCCTGGATCCTGGCCTTTCCCTGTGACTTACATGCCTGTCGCCAGCAGGCAGCCCTGTGAATCCTGGTAACTTGCTCTCCCAAGAACAGAGCCTGTCCCCAGATGTCTCAATAGTAATGAGTAACAGAGATGGCTGTGGATTTCCTTTACTTCCCCTTGTTGGATCAGGGCCTTCCTGCCTCCTGCTGGGCAGGGCCCTAGCCCCTCTGATCACTCTGTAGCACATCATGCAACTGATGCCAAAGTTGTGGGGTCCTGTGTGCAACAGAGCCCTGGAAGCCACTGCTTGCCTTCAGAGGGGTTCCTTGCTGAGACCCACATTGCTTCACCTGCCCCCACCATGGCTGCTTGCCTGGCTCAACCAGAGTTCTGTGCCATGCTGGAGCTGGAGCTGTTGCTCTTCTTCAGAGGAGGAAACGGGGTGGGAAGAGGGAAGGGTCTTGCTTCTCTTCTAAGTGTTGCTGCTGTGGCTTTTTTGCCTTCTCCAAAGAAGCCCTGCCAGGTCCCAGGCTCTAGACTGCTGTGCTTAGTTGGCAAGTGAGAAGCCTGGGGTCTGGAGCCCACCTACTCTCTAGCAGCATCAGCATCCTACTCCTGGCGACATCAGGCTAACTGTCCACCCCAGCTTCATACCGCCAGATGTTGGCGGAAGGGCTAATACTGAATGTCTTGATTGGCTGGAGCCTTCAAAGCCACTGGGATGTCCTCCACGCAGCTGGGTCCCATGACCAGCTCCCTGTCTCCATAGGGGTAGGCATTTCACTGATTTTTGAAGCTCAAATTTCATTAAATATGTTAAGAATCAAAGCTGTCTTTGTCTGTTCAGGCTGCTATAACAAAAATAAAATAGGCTGGGTGGCTCAAACAACAAGCATTTATTTCTCATGGTGCTGGAGGCTATAGACATCTAAGATCAAGGCGCTGGCAAATTTGGTGTGAGGCAAGTGCCAGCTTCCTCAGAGACCGTCTTCTCACCATAACCTCACATGGTGGAAAGGGTGTGAGAGCTCTGGGGCCCCACCCTTATAACCCAGTCACCTCCCAGAGGCCCCACATCCTAACATTATCATAGTGGGGTGAGCATTTCAACACAGGAATCTGGGGGTGGAGGGGCACAAATGTTCAGTCTCTAATACAGCCCTCTGATAAAACGATGCTGTGGTTAAATGAGTTCTGGCCAATTTGTAAAAGCCTCAGGACAGGTCTGACCCTCACAGACCTAAGAAGGGGCCAACCGGAAGGCACCAGAGATCAAGGTGATCCTCTGTCTTAATGGAGTCACATGTGTGGATTCACATGCAGTTCATTTATGTGCCAATGTCCTTGATAGCTAATGGCATATGCTTATTACGAGGAAGGAAATTTTTCCTATTTCATAATCTGGGAAAACAAGACTTAAAAACGGTAAGTGACTACTGGCTTGAGGTCACCCAGCCAGGAAATGGCAGAGCTGGGATCTATAGGCCACCATCTGAGGCCAGCCTCCTTCCCAGCTGATGGGCACATACTCCTGTGCACTTGGATACCTTGTGGTCAGGGATGTATGGTACGGCTGACAGACAGGACCCTGGGTAGAGAAGCCCAGCCACTGGGGGAGCCTACAGCCAAATTTGGGCTAAGTAGGTAACAGGGGTTTGGGGGGCAGGAGGCTCTTTCCCGTGATAACCATAACTCTAGTGAGTGAGCACTTGGACTGTGCTGGGCTTCATCTTCATCATCTCATTTGAATGCTTTCATGTCTCTGAGGTGGGTACCATTCTGATTTTACAGACCGAAAGGAGCTAAAAAATAGGCCTTAGCTCACGTAGCCAGGTTAAAGCAGAAGCAGATTTCAGGTCATGTGTATGAGTTGACAGATAGTGCCTTTAACCACTCCCTGCCCTACATGCATGCCAGGCATGTGCTGTTTGTCTCCACATGCACAGAGTACCCCTGCTCACCCTGCCATCAGCGATTGCTCTAGAAAGAGACCTGGGTGCTGGCTTGACTGCAGTTTCCTTTTTTTTTGAGACAGGGTCTTGCTGTGTTGCCCAGGCTAGAATGTAGTGGCATGATCACAGCTCACTGCAGCCTCGATCTCCTGGGCCCAAGCCATCCTTCCAACAAGTTAGGACTACTGGCACACACCATCATGCCTGGCTAATTTTGTATTTTTTTGGTAGAGACAGGGTTTCACCATGTTGCCCAGGCTGGTCTTGAGCTCCTGAGTGTAAGAGATCTGCTGCCTCGGCCTTCCAAAGTGCTGGGATTGCAGGTGTGAGCCACCACGCCCAGCCTGGCTGCATTTTCTGATCCATAATTGAACCTTAGACCATGATGATTTCTTTTCCTTCTGGTGTTCCAAATGCCCATTTGACTCCTGAGGAGCCACTGAATTGTTAATTCAATGCCGAGGAAAGCCTTTCTAGCATTCTTACACGCATCAGGTGTGTGTACTGGAAGGGGGATGGGTGGGGGACCTTGGAAGCAGCCCAGCTGAGGAGACCCTGTGTTAGGGGCTCAGTAATAGAGATCTGCCTGGTAGGAGATGGTTCATGATGCTTGCAGCCAGGGCTGTGGGCCCCTGGTTCACATGCTTTGGGGAAGGTCCCTCAGAGGAGGCAGTGGCTTTCTTGCTTCCATGTATTATAGTTTATTAACTTTCTTTTCCCACTCACTGGGGTTAAGGTGCAGAAGGCATTTCACAAGGAGTCTTAAAACCAAATTAGGATTGCCAGGTAAAGGCTGCACAAGGAAAATGCCTTATCTCTGAAGTCCAGAGCTGGCAGGGGAGGGCGGTGTGACCCAGGGACTCCACCCTCCTGCAAAGCGAGAGGGCATACTGGAGAGGCATGGGGACCCACTCTGGCTCGCTCTGGGTGTTGTCTGTAGCTCTGGAATCTTGGTGAAGCATTTCCTGCTCAACTTAGAGGGCGGGCCAAGGGGTCCAGGCTGGGGGAAGGTGACGATAGGAAGGCAGAAGGAAGTGACAAAGGCCACCTCAACACAGCAGTGAGAGGAGCTGAGGCAGAGGGAGGCAGTTACACACCCTGGCTCTGTAAGACCTCCAGGATGGCCCGGAGGATGGCAGCAGCTGCCACAGCCCCAGGGTCTGGCTGCTCCAGCCGTGCTGAGCTGATATAACTGGCTCTTCCGGCTCCAGCTTCCATATTCTTGGTGGCCTCAGCTGCAGCTTCGGCACTCTGGGGGAGGGTGTGGGAGCAGGTTCAAGGGCAGGCCCCCAGGCCTCCTCCTCCCTGTCATGGGCAGAGTGTCTCTGCCATGCAGCCTGGCCCTGGACACTCTTGCCCTGGCTCTGCCAGCACCCTCTGCTCTGTCACCAGGTGGAAAGTCACCTCTCTTCTACTTCCAGCAGGGAAAGGGGCCGCCATTCACTGAGGACCTGCCACATCCCAGGCACTGTGCAGGGCTCTAAGTATTTCCTTAGACACATAATCGCCTTCTGAGATAGGTGCCCATCTCCATTGCGCAGAGAAGGAAACTGCGGTCCAGGAAGGTGAACTTGCTCAGGGTCACATGGAAACAAGAGTCTGGTGGTTCCAAGCCTGTCTCCATGGGGGGGGCCAAGCCTCACTTACCTTGACTGCTTTGGTCAGGACTTGGAACAGATCGGCTACTGGGCTCTTCCAGGCTTGGAGCTCCTGCCCTGCTGCCCACAGAGAATCCAGCTGGACAAGGTGAGGGAAAGGGGGCTGAGCGCAGGCCCTGCCACTGAGGGTGCTCTTTAGGGCTTACAGGCTCAAAAGGAGAAAGGTCTGGGGCCAGAGCCCAAGTACACACCATAGTCCTGTCCCCTGGGGCAGCCTTTCCATACCTGGCAGGGAAAGAAAATGAAAGAGGCTCACTGTAGGAAACTAAGGGAATCACTCTAAGGGTGGGGCTAGGGCCTGGTGGGGAGCAGATGTCACCAACCACCTCCCCCAGCCCAACCCTGGTCTGAGGCACAGGGTTCCAGCTCACTTCTGCATGGCTTCCAAGCCGGCGTCCATGGCAGCAGACCAGGCTGGGAGGCTGGTCTTGGCCTTGAGAGGCTGGGCAGCTGCTGTCAGAAACAGGCCATAGAGCTGGGGAAGATGAGAATGCTGAGCATGTGGTGCTGGCCAGGACCCCAGCTGGCCCAGCCACCTCCCTGTCAGCCCTTCAGCCCCTGGGCACCCACCGCCCCAGATGAGCCTCCCATCTTCTCCAAAAGCAGGACCGACAACTTGGAGAGCAGCTGGGCAGGGCTGGCAGGGGGTGGGCCCTCCTTCAGCCACTCCCGGATCGCTGTGGGCACAAAGAGATGGAAGGAATTCAGAGATGCTCCCTCCATCTCCCTGACTTCCAGCCAGCACCAGTGAAGACTGGAAGAGGCTGAGGGGAAGGCAGAATGAAGGCTTCCCAAGAGCCCTTACCACATCCATTGTGCGGTCTGGAGAGCCGCTGGGCTGTGTAACTGAACAGGGCCTCGGGAGGTGAGGCCTGCCCCTAGCCCCTCCACCTGACACCCTGTACTCCGCTTCCCGGCCTTGTTTTTTCTCCTTAGCCCTTTGTGATAACATCCTCTGTGTTTTACTAGTTTGTCTTGTTTACAAAAGCAGGAGAAGTGCTTGAACCTGGGAGGCGGAGGTTGCAGTGAGCCGAGATTGCACTACTGCACTCCAGCCTGGGAGACACAGTGAGACTCTGTCTCAAAAAAAAAAAAGAAGGTCCCTGTCTTCAGGAAAAAAGGTGAAAGGGGAGCTAGGGTTTTGTGAATGACCTCACTTGGCAAAGTCCCTGGCACCAACCTCTGGCTGCACGGCTGTGGGTGGTGCCACAGTCACCGTCGCCGGCAGCCCGGTCCAGGGCATTCAGGTGCTCCTCCAGGCCCAGGAGGGTACTGCACACCCGTTCCAGCACAAGCGCCATCCGCTTCGAGGCTGAGCCTAGAAAGGGAGGACGGTGGGTACCAGGGCCCTAGCCCGTCCCACCACATACCCCTGTCCCTTCCCCAGAAGCGGGGCTTGGTACCTCCTGCAGCAATGGAATCAAGGGCCTCCTGGGGCTCCGCAGGGGCTACCCGGCTCCGCTTCCGCCCAGTAACAGAGACTGCGGCCACGTTAGGCCAGGCTGCTGCAGTGGTTTCAGCATCTAACGGTAGCAAGATAACTCTTTTAGACACAGTTGGCCAGCCAGGGATTCAGGAGGGCTTGGACTCCCTCATCCTGGCCCTGGTGGCCTGGCTCTCTCAGCAGCCCTGGAGGAAGGGAGTCCACCTCAAGCATGGACTGAGTGCCTACTGTTTACAGGGGTATGAAGGAAGGGTCCCTGGGGAAAGGGTCAGGCATATCTGAGGAGGATCCTAACACCAACTCCTCCTAGTCCAGTGAGAGCTAGAAAAGGCTGGAGAAGCTTAGAAAGGGCCTTCTTCACAGACTCCAAAGCTCTGATTGACAGTCATCCCTAATGGGGTCTCCAAGTCTCCCTGGCTTCTTCCAGCCACAAATAGCCCTGGCTTGGGTGACCCCAGGTTCCAGGTCTCACCTATCAGTTTCAGGAGAGGCTCATCCACCAGCAGGAGGGTGAGAGAAACGCCAGGCATCTCCAGTGCTGACATGAAGGTGCCCACTAGGGCACGGGCAATCTTCACCCCACGGCCCTCTGCAATACCAGAGTGTGGCAGTCCAAGAGGGGAAAATGGACATCAGGGAAAGAAACATAACAACTGAAAAGCAAGGATGTTGGAAGCTGGGGCCCTGAGGTCAGTAGGGAGATGGCCTGATTTCCTCCTGGCATCCCTCAACCCCACAAATGACCACATTATTCACTGCAGGTGTCCCCTACTTCGGGGCAGATGAGTAATTATACGTCTCATTTACTCAGTTCATGCTAGGTGCTGGGCACAGTATTGAGGGTCTTACATATGTTTAATCTCACTTAATCCTCAAAACAACCTATAAGGCAGGTACCATTATTATTACCCTGTTTATAGACAAGAAAATGAACAAAGGCTCAAGGTATCCAGCAATTAGGTGGCAGAGAGACGATTTAACTCAGGCTCATCTGACGGCACAGTCCGTGTTCTCTGCCATCACAAGGCCCTCCCTCAGCCCTTCTCAAAGGGCTGCGGGGTCCCCTTCCCAGTGCGAGGCTCACCCAGGGAGCGGACAGCAGCGTCGGCTAAGATGCCCAGTTCCAGGAATGACAGGCCACCCAGGTTGTTGACCATCATCACAACCGAGGAGCCTGTGGACAGACATGACACCCCAGGTGAGACCCTCTGCCCTGAAGTGGAGGAAGGGCTGGGAGACGGGGTAACAGGCCACCTACCAGACTGCACAGGCACATGAGACGCGTTGGTGGTGTCTGTCATGTGGTCGAGCATGAGTTTCACAATCTCATCGGCGGTTGCCATCTGTCACAGGGAGCCAAGAATGAGCTGCATCTGGGGGGCCTTGGCCTTAGGGTGGCCTGTGCCAGGGGGACCACCTACCTTTATCCGGCGCACACCAGCTTCCCCGTGGATCCCTGCAGATACATGTGGTCAGTGCTGGCCCACTCGGGACCTGGGAATTTGCTCATCATTTTTATCAAGGACTCGCACAGTGCTGGGCACTAGGCAAGGCACCTTAGGCACTGTATAAGTGGGTGGAGGTGGAGGGTGGAAATGGACAGAATAATGAAGAACACGGTCTCTGTTCTATGGGAGCTCATGGCTCGGTGGCAGAGATAGCTTTAACTAGAGGTAGTCAAGGTGGAAGCACAGGGGAGGAAGCAGAAAGCTTTGCGGTCAGGTGATCTTTGAACAGCCCTTGAAAGAAGGTGCATTCTGGCAGGGGCAGGAGGACCTGGGAATGGTAAGCAAAGGCAAGGAGGTGGACAGCACATGGAGTCCCACGTGGCCAGAGTCCTGAGTGTGGACGGCAAAGCAGGTAGAAATCAGGCAAGCTGGGCCTCAAACGCCCAGGTGAAAATACTAAGACCACCTGGGGAGAGGACCAGGCTGACAGCTCTTAGGGTATACAAGGTGGGCAAAGTCCTGGGCCGAGGGGCAGGCAGGGCTGAGATAGGTGGCCACAAGCTTACCCAGGCCCAGCTCCACCTCGTCGGCTGAGAGCTCGAAGGTGGGTTTGGAACCAGGGACACTGCAGGAGGATAAGCTCACCCCCAGGGTACCTATGAGAAATGAGGAATGAAGGGATGACTAGTCCGCTGTCAGCACTGGGTGTCAGGAAGGACAGCAGCAGCATCTCACAAGCCCTGCCCACAGGCACCCTCTTCTCTGAGAAAGCTTGCCAGACTCTCCACCTCAGCTATGGTACCCAAGGCCACCAGTCCCCAAGAGCTCCCCCAGGGATACCTTCCCTCAGCTTCTGGGTAATAACCTGGGGAGCCCTACTAGGCAACCAACAGGAACCTGCTCCTCGTCCCAGGGCTGTTCCAACCTCCCCCACTCTCCTCCCCAACTCCCAGGCCAGCACTCACCCATGGCCTTGGCGACCATGTTCACCTGCTTCGTGATCTCCTCCAGCCCCACACCTGCCTCAGCCAGAGCACCTGCCACCTGCAGCCACACAGAGGTAAAAGCCCCAGAGCAGGGGTCATCACTGTACCATGTGGGGCAGAAGACAGGCAGGGCATGAATTTCTTGTTTGGAAGGGGGAACCTCAGGATTTCCACACTCAACCTGGCCCATCACATTTAGGGCAGAAGAGCAAACTCCCCTCATTCACAGTCTACCTGCCAGGAATCTTTAAGAATTCCTGTTTGCTGGAGTCAGAAAAGACTTTACAAATGGGGAAATGTGCCCAGAGAGGGGAGGTAACTTGTCCAATGTCACACACCCGGTAGGTAGCCAGTTTTCCAACTCTAGGGTTCCAGAGTTCTCGCTCCAATAGCCTTGCTACTGTGGGTCACTTTATGCATCTATCCATCCATCCATCCACCCTATTTTTACCAAGCACCCAGTATATGCTGAAAAGGAAAAAAGGCGACTAAGTCACAGTCCCCACCTTTAAGAACTCACAGTCTGGGGAGAGGCTAGGGAAGCAGACACAAACAAACTGAAAATGTATGTGAGGTGGTAACTGCAATGATGGAGTCCACACTAGGAGGGGCTGCCAGCCAGCTCAGGGTAGTGGGGAGATGGAGATCATGGAGAGCCTCCCAGGTGGGGAGACATCAGACAGAGCTGGGCTTCTGCAGAATGGTAGGAGTTAGCCAGGCCAAAAGGAGCCTGGACAAGAGAGAATTTTCTGGGCCACAGACACTGCATAAGCAAAGCCAGAGATGAGCCACAGCCTCTTGGGTACGGGAGCTGGCGTGAGTGGACCATAAGAGGAAGGTAGGGATGATGGGAGATGAAGGTGGGGAGTCAGGGAGCGGGGTGAGAGCTTGTGTTGACTCTAGGCACTCAACAAGGCTTTCAGTGGATGAACAACCTAGTCAGACATATGTTTTAGAAGACACCTCTGGCAGTAGGTGGAGAATGGATGGGCAAGGCCAGAAGGCAGGAAGCAGGTGGGGTACCCCAGTGAGGAGGCGGCTGCAGCCATCAAGCACGAACAGATGACGCCTGAACCACGGCGAGCAAGAGTGGTGGGGTCTGAGGAGGATGTGTGTTATGTACACTTGGGAGTAGAAGTGCCAGGACTGGGCAACTGATTAGGTATGGGAAAGAGAAGGGGACGGGTCTGGGAGAATGCCTGTATCTGGGCTTAGGTAGCTGAGGGGATGGGGGGACCTTCTCAGATCAGGGAACACTGGAGAAGAAGTAACTTCTTGGGGAAGGGCTGGGAAGGTCCAGGTACCGGGTGCTGCTAGGCAAGGAAAAACTGAGAGGGGCTGGCCAGCCTCTGCATCCTGGGTGGAAGCCCACCTTGTGTATAAGCACTGTGCCACACAGCCCCCTCCGGCCTGCCTTCTTCAGGACGGTGAAGGCGCTGTCGTCCCCGATCACCACCATCTCCACTGGGATGCCTTCAGCCTGGGCCTGCTCCCGGGCCAGGCCAAAGTTCAGCCGATCCCCAGTGTAGTTCTTCACGATGAGGAGGGTCCCCACTGAGGAAGCAGCCAGCAGGGCTCAGTGCGCTTACTGTGCCCTCCTGGCCGCAGCCCCTCCCACACACCAGGTTTACCTGTGCCAGCCTGGGCCACTGCCCTGATGGCTGCCAGGATGCTGCCCACTGCCGGGGAGGTGAACACGGCTCCAGCGATGACCCCGGTCAGCATCCCCTTCCCTATGAAACCTGGAAGTGGAAGGGGTGGAGTGAGCATGCCGGGTGGACTTGTGCCTGTAGTCACTGGGGCTTCCCACGCTCCTGGGGTCATGGTTTGGTGAGCCCTACTGTGTGCCTGGTGCTCAAAGATCCCCCAGGTCTTCACATGGCTGACTCCTTCTTAGGAAGCACCTTAGAGAGGCCTTCTGTGACCTCCCAGTCTGAAGCAGTCACCCACTCCCTCCCCGGGGACTCACTATTCTTTTGCCCCATTTTACTGTCTTTACTAAGTCACGTAGCACCCTCTGAAATGATCTTTTACTTTTGTGTATACCTGACTATTGTCTATCTCTCCTAAGAAGAATATAAGCTCCTCCAGGGCAGAGACCTTGTCTGTCTGATTCATTGTGCCCAGAACAGTGCCAGGTATGCAGTGGGCTCATGAGCGTTTGCCGCATGAATGAATGGATTTGCTGAAGGAAGACAGGAAAGGGACAAATGACGTGCAGCCTAGTCCCTGCCCTCCAGGAGCCCTCAAGGAGAGTTCGCATCCCTGGCTCCTAACAGGAAACAAGCCAGGACAGTCCGTGCGTGGGACATGTCAGGTAAGAATTCAGAAGAGGAATGCTGTTCTAGGCCGGGAGTCAGGAAGCCGTCATGGAAGAAGGGGTGGGTCTGCTGGGCCTGGAGGGTCCAGAAGACTCATGGAATCACCAACTCTCAGGGCTAGAAGGACTTGAGAGATTGTTTGGCCCAAGCTTCATAGTTTTTTAGATGTAGAAACAGATTCAGAGAGGCCATGACAGGCCCCTGATCCCAGTCGGAGGAGAGGGAGAGTGGGAAGCAGCCCCAGTTCCTGACTCTGGGCTGGGTTCCACCCTGCACCTCATGGCAGCACTGAGGATCTTCCAGGAGGCCCCGTCCACTCCACCAGTACCCCCTGCCCCACCCTAGGGTGCTCACCAGCATGGGCAGGCTCATGGCCAGAGCCCCCACCCGACAACAGTGCCACCCGGCCCTTGAGGCTGTCCAGGTCAGAACGGAGGGCCACACGGTGGCCCTGCAGGAGCTGCAGGTTGGGGTTGCAGGCCACCAGGCCAGCAAGGGCGTCATCAGCGCAGCCTGCCACCGAGTTCACCAGCTTTTTGGAGGTCTGCAGGTGAGGGGTGAGAAGGAGGTCAGAGTGTGGTCAGCACAGACGCACCCATCCTGCCTAGCCACTCTGCTGTGGTGCAGGCCTGCATCCACCTAAGAACTCCAGGAGCACAGCACTTCCTTGAGTTGGGCAACATCTTATCAGGTGGGTATTTCTGTGAGTTTTCAATAACTTGTGACTTTCTATTCAGTACCTAATTTATGAAATGTCTTGTACCATACCTTCGATTTATCCTAAAAAATGGCTTCAATACAAAGAAAATGGGGGAGGTATTGTCCTCGGCAAAAAATATTTTAATAAAGTTGGGGCCCAACACCTTCTTCTGTCAAAGAAAGAAAAGCCCCAAGCTGAGGCTCCTATGCCAGGGGAAGGAGCTGAGCAGGTTCCACAGTCACTGCTGCTCCAATGCAGGGCAAACATTTCCCCAGCCTCCTGGTGTGCCAGGCCCAGCCTAGGCACTGTGTGTAAAGGTAACAGCCCAAGAGCAGTGGCTCATGACTGTAATCCCAGCACTTTGGGAGGCTGAGGCAGGCAGATCGCTTGAGCCCAAGGCTTTGAGACTGGCCTGGGCAACATGAAACTCCATCTCTACAAAAAATATGAAAAATGAGCTAGGCATGGTGGCGTATGCCTATAGTTCCACCACTCAGAAAGTTGAGGTGGGAGGATCGCTTGAACCTGGGAGGTCACGGCTGCAGTGGGCTGTCATGGTGCCACTGCACTCTAGCCTGGGTGACAGAGTAACTTCATCTCAGGAATAAAAAAAGAGGTAACAACACTGTTCCTGCTCTCAGTGAAACACAGCAGAGGTCAGCCATGTGCAGGTACTGCTACGAGAGGACTGTATGTGCACCACAGGAGCACAGAGGAGGGGCTGCAGCCTCCTGAGGGGCCTGGAGGTCTCTGTGAAGGATAAGCAGGACCTGGATAGGTAAAAGGGAGCAGGAGGCATGGCGGGGAAGGAAAAGGGAGGCTCTTCCAGCCAGAGGGGGAAACAAGCCAAGGCCTGGAGTGAATAGTGTGGTGGTGCCAGGAAGCATGGGTGACCAGCAGGAAGGGGTGGGAAGGAGAAGGCCGGCCACGGGCAGCCTCAGGAGGGGCTGTGGGCAGGTTGGAGGAGGGCTGCTGAGTAGCACCGCCAGGCTTGGCTGAGTGGATACAGGGTGTAGACAGAAGTGAGTAGTGTGGGGGCCAGAATAAAGCGCAGCTTGAGCTCTGCTGTCATGGGGACTTAGGTTCAAATCCCACTTCTGTCTCTCATTAGCTGCAGGAACTCAGGAAAGATACATCACTGTCGTGAGCTATAATTCTTCCTCTGTAAAACAGGGATTTACTAGAACAGAGTCTATGCCTGTGATATAGTGGAAACTCAATCAAAGGGAGCTACTCCATATTTTAAACAGGCTGTGAAAAGCCGGAGCCTGCTGAACAAGGGCTGCAGCCCCTGCCTTTGTCCTGAAGACGGAGTGAGGCTGGGGCCCAACATGGACCCAGAGGGCTGGGCTCCCACCGCCACCTGGTGGCCTGGCAGGAGCCTGCAGCTGAGCCAGGTCCTGGCAAGGTGAACTTCCGGCTGTAGCTTCTTCCTGAGCCCACTAGCACCAGCTCCTTTGTACAAAATTTGGCTCTGATGCCTACCTGCCAACCTGTCCTGCAACTGGCCAGGGCCAGGGCTAAGCCACCTGCTTCAGAGTAGCCTAGGTCTACAGGGAGCAAGAAGAATAAGACTGCTTCCATTTGCCGAGCGGTGACTACAGCCAGGCCCAGTTCTAAGAGTTTTTGAGCATGTCTCATTGAATCTTCCCAACAACCCGATGGAGGAAAGATGAGCCCAGTGAGAAAACTGAGGCACAGTTAAACGATTTTGCCCAAGGTGACACAGCCAGGAGGTGTCCAGGTCTGCCTGGCTCCAAAGCTGTTTCCCTTTTGGCCATATCATGCTGCTTTCTTGAGAGGCTGAAGGGAGGTGGAGGGTGACAGAGGTTGCCCTAGAAAGGGCATGGGCTTGTGGTCCTCAGAGCCTACAAGGGACTGGAACATACAATGAAGTTGTGAGTTGGCCTCACTCCAAGCCCAGCCTCCAGTACCACCAGCCTCCAAGAAAGTGGCCTGCTCCACATTTTGATAATGTCTTGCCTGGGATTTTTAATAATCCCTGCACCAGAGCCAGGAGAGGGTTTGGGGACCAGTGCCATCCCTGGTTTCAGTGGCCTGAGAGGATGGAAAAGGAAAGGAAATCACGTGAGGCCTCAACACTTCACAACAACTAGAGATAAGCGTTAATCTGCTTTATAATGCAGATAAAGAAAATAGGCTCAGGAGGTTAAATCTTCTGTAAAAGGTCATGCAGCTGGTCAGTGGCAAGCTGAAATTTGAATCCAGATATGTTCAAGGCTTGTTTTGGTCCAAATCAGTGGGCCTGGAGCAAAGCCCAGGGGCACGGCCAGGCTCCCACACTGTAGGTCCCAGCTCCAAACCGGCCGACATAAGCCCCAGGGTTAGGAATAGTCACGTGGTCATTCTTCAGAGTTCCTTCTGTGACTGGTGCAGTGTCTATTACAGAGCAGGTAACTGTTCTTGTTCTACTCTGAATGTAAGACCCAGATAGGGGGCAGAACGGCTCTAAAGGGATGCAGAGGCTGCAGGCCCAGGCCTGGCTGGGACTAGTGGCCTCCGGGAATAAAGAAAAGCAGGAATCAGGCCCTGGGAGAGAGGATGACCCTCTCTATTAACCCCTGAGCCTCAGGAGGCAGTAGCATCTCTTGGTCAGGGTGTAAGGAGCTCTAGCATGCCCAAATGCCCAGGGCTGGGATCCCGCTTTGAGACCATGCTGCCCTTCCTCTGCCCCAGCCCTGTATGACTCACCATGGTGGAGAGGCTCTGAAACAAGCTGAGTTCACACCTTTGTACCAAGTTGACGGAGGATGGACAATCCTGTGTTACCTGTGTCTGAGCACAGCGGAGGCAGCAGCAGCACCTGCAGGAGCGGGTAATGTATAAGCTGCCGAAGGCACTTGCAGCTGACTGGCACAATCACACTTCAGCGCCCTAGTAATTAGGGAGCTGCCCCAGACTTCGGTCCAAGTCCAAACTCTAGTACGTGGGCTATGGATGGAGAAGAGTGTGGGGCTGATCAAGGTTCACGCCTGCACTTGGCTGCCGGAAGACAGATCAATCCATGTCAGGCACAGGGCTGCCTTTATGCCCAGGAACAGCACCTCCACCCACTTCATCACCGAAGAACAGTGACCCTCAGAATAACTCTATCTTTTACACGGGCATCACATGCAGTGAGGAAGTTAACAAAGCTCTTCGCACGCTTGCTCTCATTGGGCTTGGCACCAAAAGGGCGGGGGATGGGGGAAGCTAGCCAGTTTGTGATCCCATTTTACTTCCGGGAAACACACTAGGAGAGCTCTACGGACATATTCAAGGTCATACAGGTAAGACCCAGGACCTAAACCTATGTTTTTGTTTTTCTACAAACAGCGTGTTTTCACTACTGCCTACAAAGCCAGGCACAGTCTCTGCTGTGGGAAATGCAAGCTGTAAACCACAATGATATTCTGGCTTTCCTCAGTTCAGCCCGGTTCAGTGGCGTGTCGGCCTCTGTGCCTACGTGTGGGTGCACAGTAGGAAGAATCAACATAGCTCTGCACCTAGCTCTGCTTCAGCCTACTTGGAGTTGGGAGGGCGGTCTTAGGTAAACCAATTCCTCCTTAAGTCTCAGCTTCCTCATCTGTAAAATGGGGGTTGGCTCCTCTCTGGCATTCTCCGAGTGTGCTAAGCCACGTGGTTCTCCTCTAGTTCCCAGGGAGCCTGTTTGATGCTACCCTGGAGGCTGCAGGGCTGACTGCCCTCCTGGCTCCTTAGGGTTCCTTACGGAGAGATGCTGGTTTTGTGTTTGAGGTTCGAATTTGTAGAGCAATAGGGGCACCAATAACTGGGTGAGCGGACCGGTGAGCCCTTCAAAGTCTGAAGAATCAACGCGCAAAAAGGAGGAGGTGAGCGTCCTGGTGCCCCATGCCAAGTGGTCGTTTTAACGTCAGGGGAAAGCACCGGCTGGATCTGGAGGAACTGAGAGAGTGAAGCGGGGGTAGGCAAGGTTCTCGTCTGAGATGTGCACAAATCGCGGTCATTTCCCTTCCCTCTTTAGGCCTCCGCAGTCCTTCCCTTTCCAAAAGGAGGAACAGCCCCTAGAGCTCCTGGAGCAACGGAAGGACAGGACGCGGGGAAGGGCGAAGGGCGCGGAACGGGCAAGGGAGTCCGCGGGCGAGCTCCGAGGACACTGGCGCACCTCCCCCGCCGGCTCACGCCCGCATCCCCCACCTCCGAAGGCAGCACAATTTCCCGGGGACCCCCAACGCCGCTCTCTCATCCGGGTCCCGCGGGCGCTGGCGGAAAGAGGCAAGGCGGCGCCTCCGGGGGCGGGGCCTCCTTTGGTTGGCGGCCTCGGGCTTCGGGAGTCCTCCAAGGAGCCAGGTGAAGCCGTCCCGTGATGCCCCTCGCCCCGGCCGCTCTGGCCTGCAACGTGTATCTGGGGCGGAGGCAGCGGCAGTGGAGTTCGCTGCGCGCTGGTGGGGGCAGCTAGTCTCTTCGCTTGTGTCCCTCTCTCTAGTGTCGCGCTCGAGTCCCGACGGGCCGCGCCAAGCCTCGACATGTCGTACAACTACGTGGTAACTGCCCAGAAGCCCACCGCCGTGAACGGCTGCGTGACCGGTGAGGCTGCCGGGGCCGGAGACCCCGGCGAGGGAGGGAGCTGAGGGGAGCCGCGGCCTAGGGAGGCCTGCAGCCCCGGGGCGGCCGGGCAGGAGCAGGCCCGGCGAATGGGAGGCGCTGGCGGCCAAGAAACCTCCCCCGGCCAGCTATGTCGAAGGAGTCGTCTCAATATGCGCTTTTGGGGGGCTAGGATCCTTTCTCGAGGTCCTTTTTCGTCCTGGGGAGTTCACTCGGCCTCGAGGACAGGGCGGGCCCAGTGAGACAGAGAGAGGAGTGTGAGTTGGTTATGCGGTGTTGTTTGGGCCCGGAAATTGGCCTCATGTGGCCGGGAAAAGGGAAGGTGATAATGACGACTTTGGTGCCAGGATTTTCTTGTGGAGAAGTCTGGGGGGCCCAGAAGGTGGAGGGATGTGAAGAATGCCCGCATTCTCCACAGAGGGAGAGGAGCTCTTTCCGGGCTAACCCCTTTGCCTGGGGCTGTTGTTTACATGAGGGCCCTGCTGGAGAAGAGGGTTTGCTTTTTGACGATGTGTTTTTATTAAAGACACCAATGTCCAGAACCCGGGAAGGATCATCTGGGACCCACATTCTCAGCTGAATATGCAGACCCCAAGCTTGCATGTTTATGTACACCCTAATCATGATTCCAAAACAAAACTCTATTGTTCAGAGATGGAGGTAGCTGAGTGTGGATGGGGGTGTTGGTAGACTGCCAGGAGGGCAGGGGATGTGGACAAAACAATGTTTTCATGTAAAACTCTGGGACTTTTCTCATTTGGTCTGTCTGAAAAAAGTTTCTGAGACTTTACATAAAGACTGGAAGCATTCTCAATCGAAGCCTGCCACTGTGACTGTAATAGGAAAAGTAAAATTCGAGGGACAAGAGCCATGAGAAGAGATTAGTCAGTCATCGTCAGTTGGAGGACACACGCTCTTAGATCCAGTCCAGTTTTCTTAGTCTGATTAGGGAAGTAGCTTTGTTGAGTGCATGAAATGAGGCTCTTTGAGGTGCTGGATTTGGCAAGAAGGGGAATAGCTGGAGGGAGTTGGAGAAGTATGTGAAGTAAATGAGAATTCTGGAGGTATTTAGACATAAATGATTTTGAAGGGATGGGAGTCCCTTTCCCTGGCTTCAAAAGTTAGAGGATCTGTTCTTTCAGGACACTTTACTTCAGCTGAAGACTTAAACCTGTTGATTGCCAAAAACACGAGATTAGAGATTTATGTGGTCACTGCCGAGGGGCTTCGGCCCGTCAAAGAGGTGGGCATGTATGGGAAGATTGCGGTCATGGAGCTTTTCAGGCCCAAGGTAAGTGCTGAGTTGGGACAAACAGTGGAGGGAGAACTGTTGGTTGTAGGTTATTTACGTTATTTTTGTTTATTTTCTTTGAGACTGGGGTCTTGCAGTGTTGAGGATGTCTTGAACTCCTGAGCTCAAGCAATCCCTCCTCTTCAGCCTATGGAGTAGAGTAGCTGGGGGATCGTATGCATGCGCCACCATGCCTTGGCTATGTTATGTTGTTTTGTGAATTCTTGGGATGGATGGAATATGCCTTAGGAGAGAAACGCTCTTCTCTCATTGGATGGCAAATTTCAATATGTATTCTTGACCAAGTTTCCTAGTAGTAGGAGAGATTCATTAGGGAAGCATTTATGAAGTTGACTTCTTTAGGAGGGAGAAATTAAAGCAGTTTGATTCAAAGGATAGGCTACAGAGTGGGGCAGTCCTGGCTTCATTCCTTATAATTCTGACTTTAGCTGTCACTTAAGGCACCTTTCAGATCCAGTCACCTGGGTTATTGTGAAGATGATATGATTCAGCAACACAGGGCATATAGCAAGCATTTAATGTTGTGTTAACAATTACCAGGCTGGGCGTGGTGGCTCATGCCTGTAACCCCAGCACTTTGGGAGGCCTAGAGGGGTAGATTACTTGAAGTCAGGAGTTCGAGACCAGCCTGGCCAACATGGTGAAACCCCATCTCTACTAAAAATACAAAAATTAGCTGGGTGTGGTGGCACATACCTGTAATCCCAGCTACTTGGGAGGCTGAGGCAGGAGAATCACTTGAACCCGGGAGGCGGAGGCTGCAGTGAGCCGAGATGGCGCCACTGCACTCCAGCCTGGGTGACAAGAGTGAGACCCTGTCTCAAAAAAAAAAAATTACCATCAGTATTTTTATCATTTTAGTGCAAATGTTTTCATCCAAATCACCACCACATTGCATTATCATGTCTTAACTGAATCTGGCAAGAAAGCTATGGGTTCAAAATTTTAATTATAACCCTTTGAACAAAACAGTAATTTTTTGGAGGTCTGTGTTAAATAAGACTTTGTAGATCCATTTTAGCTTCCATTGTTATTCCCACATTTTTTTTCGTCTGCAAACACTTGGAGAGGAGTGGAGGAGGCATTACATTCATCTTTCAGAATTTGAATGCGATGATTGAGATTCACTTGAGATTGAAATAGATGAAGACTTTGTATATAGAACAGAGAGATGGAGAATCATGAAAGTGAGGACTAGATGTTTACCAGCTTCAGTTCTGGCTTTTTGTACATGCCCTTAGGGTATATGTGTACCTAGTGTGGGTTACAATCTCACCATGTATTTTCTCTTTTGGGAGAGAAGAATTTGGAAAATTCTTAAAGAACTTGGTTTGCTTAAAGACTGGACAGGTTGTTCCTGTTTTAAAAAGAACCTCTTTTGATAGCATAATATTGGTTTCCAGGGGGAGAGCAAGGACCTGCTGTTTATCTTGACAGCAAAGTACAATGCCTGCATCCTGGAGTATAAGCAGAGTGGCGAAAGCATTGACATCATCACGCGAGCACATGGCAATGTTCAGGTGAGGTGGCTGCTTTAGGCCCATGAGAATTTTCCAAGTAGGGCTGTCATGATTCATTGAGAAAAATTCAAGTGCTGGGAACAGCCCTTTATTTGATTAGAAAAACAAGGGAAAGACACTATGGGTTTGAGCTTTTTCGAGAAAGGACTCCTGTAGTTCACTTAAGGCCCAAGGGAAAGGGTAATAATTCATCGAGATTCAGTATTTCACAAAACAGGTAGGCACTGACATTTGGGCTCCACTGTTTGGCGTATCAAATAGATTTCATTAGTTTTACTATCTCTCCTAAAATTTTTCTGCAGAAGTGGTGTCCAGTGTCCTCTGTTGCTCTGTGGTTGTTGAGGTTCCTCCCTAATCCCTATTTTGTTTCTCAGGACCGCATTGGCCGTCCCTCAGAGACTGGCATTATTGGCATCATTGACCCTGAGTGCCGGATGATCGGCCTGCGTCTCTATGATGGCCTTTTCAAGGTTATTCCACTAGATCGTGATAATAAAGAACTCAAGGCCTTCAACATCCGCCTGGAGGAGCTGCATGTCATTGATGTCAAGTTCCTATATGGTTGCCAAGCACCTACTATTTGCTTTGTCTACCAGGTACTGGGTCGGGAGGAGAGGGGGAGAAGCTGTGAGGTTGATGTGGTAGGAGTTGTTTTTGCTCATTGGAATGTCTGGGTTTGGTAGTAGGTAGAGAGAGGTGTTTAATGTGTTTGTCCTGAAATGTTTTGAACAACACAATTGATAGGGGTCAGAGTTTTGTTGCTTCTTCAGTGCACTAGTACTTGTTGGGGAGGCAGCAAGCTCCCTGGGGCTTGTAGCAGGTTTTAATCCTGAGATTACACTCTGGTTGTGGGCCTTGGAGATTTCATAGGATGACCCAGTTTATACTTTGAGTCTCTTACTGGAGTGCTAGGGGATTATTAAAACTTAGCTGTAGAGAAATTATCTAGATCTTGCCTTTATATTGAGCAAAGAGAAATTGTCTTGGTGATGCCTTAAATTTGTTTTTTAAGAAGAGGTTTATGTTTTGTCCAGCAGTCACTTACTGGTGACTTGCTGGCTCTTGACTTCTATTTTAGTCTGTGCCTAAAACTTTAGCAGAGCTGATCCTGGACAGCTGTTGTCTGGTCCAGATCTGTTAAGTGGGGGTGGGGTGGTAGAACACCAGACTAACATGCCAGTGTCTTGGTAAAATCTCAGCCCTTTAACAAAGCATGCAGCATGAGGTAGTTTCATTTGCATGTGGCTGAATAAATGATGGAAAGAAAATACACAGAGTGTATGGGCACATAAACAGTTTGATAGCCTTGTTATGTATTGGAAGTGCTGAAGTAATTTTGTATATTTCTTAGTGTTACTGCAGTTCTGAGGCTATTGGATTAAGGCTCAATTGAATAAGGTTGAAATCCAGAGATTTTGTTTGATCTTATTAAATATCAGTTAAAATAAAAACTTAGAACTTCTCTCTGTTCTTTAGTTTTGTAAATATTAGGTCATTAAAACTTTGTTGTTGATTATTCAAGGCTGATTGTTCTCAGCCTCAGGGCTGCCAGTCGTAATCAGATCTTCATTTCTGCATGTGTGTCTCAGAAGCCTAAATCCACACTTGAAGTTTTTGTGAAGTTGTGTCATAACTCTACTCACTGATGAAAAAATGTTTTCATCAGCTAAAAATTACTATCTCCTGTTTTATGCCAAAAATTCAGTGTGTGCTATGTGAAAAGTATTCATGCTTCAGGAGCTATAACAGTGCTATGTGAAAGGTATTCATGCTTCAGGAGCTGTAACAGTGACCAAGATGTGATCCCTGTCCTGAAACACATTGCTGAATTCCTTCC